ATCACTATTTATTTGCTTACGGAATAATACAGTAGATACGTATTTCTCGCTCTCGATATCATTTATTTCTTTCTTTCTTTCTGACAATACCCTCGACCATTTCTTGTCCACATCTCTGTCCAATCCTACGAGTTTTACCGCGATTGCATGTAGCCACGTAGCAGCAACCAAAAATAATCCCCAAGAAGTTCTGTTTACGGAATTGTGTTACCGTCACCAAGGTATTAACAATCAAAAATCCCTTCTTCATTCTTCCATCGTGGTTTCGTCATTAGTCGGATAGAAAAAAAAAAAATCCTTTTTTTTTGTTTGCTTTTTGGTTGAAGAACAATGGGAAAAAGTTCCAATGAGGTAGGTTGTTGGTTTACCGAAAAGTGAGAATCTTATGCATGTGGTTACATTGCATGATGCGTATATCTTGAATTTTCGATATACTGTATGTGTGCCTCCATCTTTTCGTTTTTGGAAAAGTGCTAGACTGAATGGTATTTGTGGTGGTGAACCTTTTCAAATCGCCTCCAAAAGATTTCATCAACCTGTTCTTCACGTGACGAACATTCCTTGGCCGGTCTCGACAAGGAGGTGAACCGTTAGACCTGGGTGTAGCAACGAGAGCTTGAGAGAAGAAAGCTGAACGCGTAAAAGTTCATAAATGATACATCGTCGCAGGCACTTGAATGGTCGCTTGAATGGCGTACCGCCAGTTGCGCATAGGGCAATTTGGACAGACCAACCAAAAGATATGTGATCGATTTTCTTCACCCCACAATTTCCTTTATCAAAATAAACGTGATGATTTATCGGACATGTGTTTTGGACAGGTGGTACGTATGCTACGCAAAGTATATCACCCATTTTTGACATTCAATAATCTATCTATTATACATGTACATATTTAAAATTACGCGTCGCCTTTATAGATTCTTCTACAGCAAAATACCTGCGTTGTGTATATGCGGTGAAAATCAACAGCCGAGCATACTCGCATGAACGACGTCAACGGGCATTGCTTTCGAAAATGGAAATGGAAATATACGCTCATACTGTGTAGTCTGAACACCCATCAGGAATTAGTTTCGTGATTGTCGGCAAGTATTTAAACCCAGGGTATTCTTTCCCTCTGTCTTTATGATTTCCATAATCTCATCGTTTATCTCAACGCCGTAAACTTTAAAAAAAAAAAAATAACATCGAAATTACTTCCTTGTTATTTTTTTTTTTTTTTTTAATGTCACGTTTTCTTTAATGATTATTTTCCATCCATCTAATGCCACGTACTTCAACGAAATTTTTTATTCGAAACAAACAAGTATTATTCTTTTTGTCTCGCGCGCCGAAAACTCAACTTTTTTTTTTTTTACAAAATTATCTATATGAAAAAAATCGTCGAATTTAGTTTTTTTTTTTTTCCTTAAGAAAAAAAATTGAACCGACATTCTTCTCTCTTTGAAATTAATTATCGAACCTATTTTCCCTAAGAATAAGATTAACTCATCTAAAAAAAAACAATGTTTGTGCGATAGAATTTGTCGAGTTATTATAACCCTAAACGAACCATAAAGAAAAAAAAACTAAAATATCTATGTATATAAAATCACGTTATTATATATCAAAATTCAACCACTCGGTAAAAGAAATCTATAAATACTGTAGTAAAAAAAACAACCGTCTTAATTCTGCAACTCCAAAGAAATTTGCAACTTTCATCCACAGATTTAATTTAATCACTTCGTTTCGTTAAATCACCTCTCACCACCACCAACAACAATAAAACTCAAATCAATCTTCACACGTAATGCGAATCGTTTATTCTCAATCTCCGATGATAAGAATCCGGTGATCGCGATATATCGATCATCCACCGAGTTATGGAATCATCAGTACGTACGTAACACATGTATTATCATTTTGTGTGTTATATATATATATAAGGTGTGATAGATTGATGCGTATTCTTTTTTTTTTTTCCAATTAGGTTCCTCAACCACTCTATTCGATAAGAGGAGTCTCATCCGCAAAGAAATTGGTTTCACTTTTTGCGAATGCTTTTGTGATCAACTTTTTCCCAAAACGTTTTTTCTTCTTTCTTCTATTCCTACTCGATTTTTTTCCTCTCGTCATGGATTTTACTTACTCGAACTTATCGTCCGCTCGTTAGTCACAAAGGTTTTTCTTTTTTTTTATTTGCGAAAAGTGAATTCTCGCTCGACCAAATTTCTTTCTCTATTGTATCCATTATCTGTATATACGTTGGACAAGTTTCTTTATTTAGATTGGTTTATTACTTAGAAACTCTTCCTTTTCTTTTTTTCTTGTATAGCATATTACTTACTTAAAAAACAAAAACAAAAAAATCCCAAAAAAAAATAGTACACAAAAGGACATTTTTTCTTTTTATTATTCTGTATTCTTTTTCTTTTATAAATATTATAGATTTTTTCGCAACTCGACTCTTTTTTTTTTTTTTCTTTCTTTTCTTTTCTTGAACATCTTGTCATGATTTGATTGTCAATGTCACGGCTTCTTGGTGACCAAAAATCGATCGTATTGGTTCTCTACGAAAAATTCGGTTCTTATCGTATTTCTCGCCGTCAATCATGACCTTGATCTCATACATCGAATTTCTTATTATTTTTTTTTTTTTCTGAATCTCGTTCTGTAAATAAAAATTTAAATTTAAACCGTACATGCTCATGTGTTCGTTGTTCGAGAAGTGCCCGTGCTGTTCTTCAACTGGATAATTACCTGACCGCAATTATTTTCGTGCATTCGTGAAAGTGAGAAAAGACGTTTGATTGGTTGATTGGGAAGTTGTGGATCGTCCAATGAACAAATCGATATGATAGTTGGGATGACCCAAAACGATTTAGTATGTAACGCAAAAATGCAACATTTATTTTTCGTACGTACATTACTTCCGACTAACTTAATAATATATATACAGTATAAGACGTTATTTATTTTACTTTATCAACTCGGATTACTCGATCAATGTCATCGAGCGTTGTTTTTATCATCAATGCGCTGGAAAGTATTGGTGCAAATAAGGAATGCAGAAGGAATAAAAAGCTAAAAGAGAGCGTTCACAAAGCCTTAGGTATGCGTTTTCGGTTACCAAAAAAATTTTTCTCCTCATCGTTCGCACCATTTCGCTTCCCCCCTTCTTTCCAACGGATATGTAGCATTCACCTCGCTTGCTTATGAAAATTCGCTTGCTTCGATTTTTTTTCACCTTCATTTCCATTCAAATTCTTTCATTCTCGATATGTTCACACGAAAACTCTAGGATCAATAAAACAAAAAGACGCGGAAGATACAACAGGGTAAATCACTTCCATACTCTCTCACTCGTGAAATGCTGGATCGATAATCGTTTCTAAGTGTCATCAACCCAATTCCTTCAATTAGCGATGCCGATATCATCTTCGAACCATTTCAACTAGCATGTCAGGCGAAGGTCGCTCCCCTCATGATCACGTCACTTGACTGCATAGGAAAACTTTTCTCGTACAATTATTTCATAGAATGCAATAAACCTCACACCCCCGCAAGCGAAAAGAAACAGCAAGATGAAGAGGATAAAATTGATCCCGAAAAACCTTTGATAGATCGGGCGATTGATGTCGTGTGCGATTGCTTCGTCGGGGAAAACACCGGTGATCAAGTGCAATTACAGATAATCAAGGTTTTTTTTTCTTGCTCTCCCTTGCTTTCTCTTTTTCCTTTTTTCCCTCCTTACAATGGATCATAATGTTTTTTTTTTAAAGGCACTCCTTGCGGCTGTGTCCTCAACGGTCACTCCTATTCATCAGTCTTCTCTTCTCAAGTCCATCCGCACCTCCTACAATATATTTCTACTCTCCAAGGATTCCAAG